CAAAACGATTTTGGACAGTTTGCGCCTCATGCATACTACCGTAGGTCTTACCGTTGACACCCTTTAACAGTGTAACCCCCAGAAAAGGGGCCTTTTTTTTTTTTTTTTGTCTTTCAAGGTTGTCCATTTCACATGAAACTCGTAGAACTTTTCTGTTGGTTTGTGAGAGGCTGGACACCATTTGCAGCAGTTGCAATGCCCCTCCAAATGGAAGGAGCTATCGCAAGAGGGGTGGAGTACTCACAAAAAAGGCGCCTCCTTCACAAAAGGGGTGCGGCACCCACTTGTGGAGGGGGCTCCTATCACCTCCGTAAGTGGACCGTCCAAAATATGTTTTGGGAAAACAAAGGAAGAAAATAAGAATCAAATAAACAAATGGCAGTCTTTTTTTCTTTTTGGCAGTCAGATAATGGATGTGATCAAAATTCAAAAGGACACCAGGCTCAGAGAATAATCAGACAAGGAGCTTTGGGATGGGATTCTGGTCAGATACATCCAGGATAATCCTAGTGTGAGTACTTCCTCAGAGGTGAAGTCCCACCGCCTGCAACCTTGTGACACCATTTTGACATTAATAAATTCGAAACAAGAAATTAAAAAACTGAAAAAAAACCTAGAAAGTTGGAAACAGCTTTTCTCCTTATTTTTTATTACGTAACTCGGAGAAATGAAACACGTCTGGCACAGTCGGAGTGAATGTCTCCTTGGAAAAAGGATACTTCCCGTGGTGCGGGGACAGGAGGTCACCATTTGTAAAATGGACAGGGACAACATGGATGGCCAGATGTGTTCATTGCCCAAAGAAGGAAGAGAGTTTGATGCGAGGGAGCCAAACACAGCTGTCAGAGTTCCTCCGTTTCAGGGTGTAATGATGTCTAAAAAAAAAAAAAAAAGAAAGGCACGTAAGTTGAGAAATCAACCCTGGGGGGGGGTAGGGTGGTTTTGTAAACTTAAAATGGTTTCCTGCCCAAATGGAAAGGGCCAAAGCATACAACAAAATGGATTTCACATCAAAGAAAAAATATACAAAACGAACAAATTAATAGGTTATTCTCCTGTATTTCGGTACCCTTAGATTCTCAATACATCAACGTCAGAGCTCCGTCCCACCATGCCACACGTGATAGAAACCTCTGCGTTGAGAAAACTCAACTTCGGCGGGTGGACTTCACCCCAGAGTGCTGCCTCTCTCTCTTTTTTTTTTTTTTTTTTTTGCCTGCCTCTCATTTTGACCCATCTGGGCAAATCGCAAGAGATAAAGGACAAACATTCAGTCAAACTGAGAAACTGGCCATTTATTGAAAAAAAATCAAAAAAACAAGAAAGATATTCAACGGTCGAAAGCACTACCCTTCCCACACACCGTGGGAACGGTAGTTCTTTCAAGGGGTAGGGGTAACTTCAGTAGACAAGTTATAATTGCACTATGGGGCAAGATACAGTTTGCAATCTGCACTTTGGGCACCCTACCTGGCCAGAAAGCTGGGTTATATACATTGCCCGAACTGCAATTGCAAACTGTATCTTGGCCCATACTGCATGTAAAAGTTAAAACTCATTTTCGTGACTTCCGCGTAGTTCCTCCTTCTTTCAACCGTCGAATGTCTTTACTGTTACTCGATGGGGTTGGGGGGAGGTGAAAAGGGAGGCACAGTTGCTGGCAAATGCTCTGTCCTTGGGTTAGCCGGGCCCCCACCGGCGGCCCCAACCCTGCACCATAAACGCTAGGGCAAAGTGGCGAACATGCAATTACCTCCCTCTACCAAGAGAGTGAACCTCCCTTCATCGAAAAGAGAGGTAGATAGCTATGCTTGCAGGGGGCCCCTGTCTAGCCTTAGGAGTAGTGGGTAGGTAGTGAAAGAAAGATACGTTCCATGTCATGGCAGAGCACCAGTTAAAAAATATGTGAGGTGAGCGAAAAAAATATGGCTGTCCCCTGATGAGAAGAAGGCAGCTTTAAGAAAAAGAAAAGAAAAGAAAAGAAAAGAAAGCACTACCGAGTCTACCATTGAAAAACCACTACCGTCTTCCCCCCCGACCCCCTAAAAGAACATAGAAGGCAGCTTTAAGAACAAAAAACAAAAAAGAAAAAAAAAAGAAAGCACTAACGTTGAAAAATCACTACCGTCTTCCCCCCGGACCCCCTTAAAGAACGTACCGTAATTATCACTGCATGTAGACAGAATGTTGCCCTCAATACAGCTATCATGACCACACGCCCCATTTCGGGAAGACTGTACCATCCTCAACATACAGACAAGATGGGCCCCAGCCCCACTTAGTACCCATATCCTTCATTTCTGAGCCTAGATTGCAGCCGTTGCGAATGAAAAGTTTGGGCAAATGGGGCTTCGCTCAAGGACAGACAAAAACCAAATTACCAAATTTCATTTCATGTAAGAATTGAAGTACCCGTGAAATTCCATAAGTATCAAAAATTTCAGAAAGTACCTATTTATTTCGTTTTTTTGCCTACAAACATCCGCCGCCTTTCTACTAGGGGTGTGGGAGGGGGGATGGGGGGGGGGGTACAAGCAGCCCCTCGGTGGGAAGCAGCACCTTCTGCAAACTGGGTCCAGTGTCCCAAAATACATCAGCTGCTGGAAACCGGGTCCTGCGTCCCAATACATCAACTTGCATCCCATTTTTGCTAGAAACCGGGTCCAGCGTCCCCTGTAACCTTCTGCAATGGAAGGTTTCTATGTGACTCAGAAATGACCCTAACACCCCAAGTACCGGGGGCGTCACCCTGCTTTTGATGAGATGAATGAAACTGTTTGGCATAAAGAGCCTCAGGCATGAGATGGAGATTATCAATACACTATGGCATAGCGCACGCCAAAGAGAGTCGAAAATTCGAAGTAAAAATTTCAAGTAAGAAAATCCAAGTCCAAATTTCGAAGTCGAAAATTCAAGTCGAAACTTCAAGTGAAGTCGGGGCCATGTCCTAACTGTTTCGGGGGTGTCCGCTTGACTTATCGCCTAGGTGCGATGGCAAGCAAGCAGGAGGTGGGGCACTGGCGGCGTGCGGGAGATGGGGTGCTGGCCGCATGCATGGGGCGAAGTGCTGGCAGCTCGACAGTCGTGAGGTGCTGGCTGCTCGAAGGCAGCGGGGCGCTGGTCACCTGCGGGCGGCGAGGCGCTGGCAGTTTTCGGGGGGCGAGGCGCTGGTGGGTTGACAGTGGTGGTCGCTTGCTGCAGGTGTGCGGCGAGACACTGGTATCAGACATGTGGCGAGGCGCTGGTCTTCTGTGCGGACTATTGTGCTGGCGTTAACAATCTCTACATAGAGGATGTTTCGGAATGAAGATGGCGACAACGGGCTACAACCTCATCACTTGCTGTTCCCTGGCTTTTGAAAGCATTTTTAAGTGCCATCTCTCTGCTTTGCGCTTCATGCGAGTGATGCTGCAGGCTAGCATGCCGCATGAAGGGAAATAATTCTTCAGGAGTAATCATTTATACTCTTCATCTTGCGAATTTGGGTGGAGGAGGTTGGCTTGCCGTGAGAAGGAGAAGAGCAGAGTGTGTGTCCCGTGGGATGGGAGGAGGATTGTCAGGAGACAATGAGCAGGAGGCTTCA